CGATCTTGTCACCTTGCCCGTCGCAGTAAAGGGCGGACTGACGGTGATGAATGTTGATAACTGTTATCGGTTTTTATCTACGGTATCATGACTGTTTAAACAATGCCAACAGCCAGAAACGTTTCTATTTTCTGTCTGGATCACCATGCGCAAAATTTAATTCCTCTGAGAGTTGCATTAAACCAATAATGAAATGTTGAGTCAGTCATCATTGAAGAGTAGTTTGAGCTTGAGCCCTCACAATTCACAATGATATTCTCATTGACGCAGGCTGAATGTCTGGCTAAATTCCTATGTATACCCGGCCCGTCACCAGCAGAACCGTCGTTCGCAAGCATTCCTTTGTCACTCCGGGTCAAAGAATATCGAATACGTTTCGTTTCCGTGGCTACTATTTGGTATGTTGACTTCAAAATCGTGTAACGAAATTGACTGACTTGTTGCATCACACTAGCCTGGCTTTTCTCGACACAAGAGGCCTTCGAACAGCAAGTGAGTGTAGCTGTCCAGTCATTTGGAATCATGCTAACATGGAAAATGCTCAATATCAGCCGCGCCTCCGTTATTCCTCTGAGAAGCCACTGAACGAACCTTCAGGATCAGGATCTGGAACGGTCCAAGCTGCGAGCACAGTGAGTTACAAGTTGCCTTCATAAGCTACCTGCTAATGATTGAAGATAATGAGGTGCCATCCTTTATACAGTCCCCTGCAGTGGACAGCAATAACTTACAACGTAAGTTAAACGACTTTTGCCGTTTTCTAAGGCAGATATCATGTGCTGACGATCCTCTATATAGGATGGCGAAATTTCTATCGTGAGTCGCTCAATGTCTCCTAGGTCACCCTAGTGCGTTGTCCCTACCCAATCCCAACGCCCGGTACTGCCTTTCAATCTCCGTACGAATGCTTTCCGTTCGTGGCTCTCTGTTCTTAGAAAATATAGCTGATGATTCTCTTTTCAAAGGGCGCGTGTTAATATTACTCTCGATCTAACCGAGCTATGCCCCCCTCCCCCGCCCTCGTCTTCGAAACTAAGCCAGCTTCAACAGCCTGATGAACCAAGCTACTGAAAGTTACTACGCTTGCGCCTTTATTGTTTCTAAAGACGTGGTTGAAATGGCCAATTCACCTGGCGCATTTAGCGAGCCTAATCCAGAAAGGCTTGATGCCCTCTGCTTAGCCATGTGGTAACAGTCCAAAGTGCTTTCATTCGTCTCTTCTGCATGACCCTATCCGGACAAAGGTTAACTGTCACTGCATTAGGAAATTGCCGTATTCCAACAGCTATGGACCTCTTGCCCACGTCCGATCCGAAGCCTTTTCGGCAGCCATGACCCGGTCCCATACTCAACCGACTGAGCCATCGCAGCATCCGGCGACGACAAAGAGAAGCCTAGTATCGACGACCACCGAGAGAGACCACGGTCTGTACAAAAGCGGGGTCAGCCAATGATGCATCAAATTTCCGACCAAGAGCTGAGGGCTAGCCCTGCCAACCCCTGCTTGCAGCACTGGATATACTCCACATCTCTCGCCGCGAGAACAGTCGTTTCTGGTCAGTTCCTAGTGAAACCTAGACCAGATATCATGAATTTCTCCACAAGTGGCACTTTGTCCTGACACAGTTGAAGATTTGCCTGGCGCACGAACGGCAAAGATGCAACAGCTATGTATTGGCAGACTTGGCCAGGTCAGTTTGCGATACATGGTGAAGAAGGCGTGCTTGTCGACTTCAAACGTAGCCGCTGATGCTTCTTTCAGAGTAGACATCTCCTGTATGTCCCACCCGACTCGCTCAGGAATGACGTGCTTCGCTGCGTGAGTGCACATGGTCCTGACTTCGGACATGCCCAACTAACTACGGAAAAGTGGTTTCACCATTCTCATTTGAGGTGGTCAAAACGCAACGATCACCCGTAGAGCGAACGAATACCTGGAACATGACTGACTCGGAAAAGACAAGCGTGTCGTAATTTCGAGGGCGCTGAGCAAGCATGATCCCCTTCTCCGGATGTCTGTCAGCCTCCTTGGGAAACTTTCCAGTCAGCAGATATTGATATATCGGATGGACTAATCAAGTTACCAACCAAAACTCGCATCTTGAATCTGCTAGGTTCAAGCCGAGGAGAAGCAACTGAAGCTTTGCAGAACACACAGGTCTGCACTGCCCCAGACCCTATCTTTCAAGAACAGTGCAAAAGGCTTTGAGGGCCTTTGTCGCCTTGATCGAGCCTATGAAAGGTTCCAAAAGCGGGGCGGATGCTCTATACTGATCCGAGCGCATGGCGTTGAAGGTTCCTCATCGATGTTTAGACTTTGACGCGATTCACACCAGACCGTCGTGTCGAAACTGGCCGTCTTCAACACCACGCCACTATCCACTTCTACCGCATACACAGCTTGCAATTGAAGGCCCCACAACCAAATCCACAGTGCATTTTGCATGAAGAACGAGAAAAAGGAATTAGTTTCCAAAATCATAGCAATGGCCATTATATTCCAAAGTGGTTCCAAGCGATTCAATTTCGACTGATCTCCAACCACGAAGAAAAGAAAAAGGAATAGACCAGATAATTTACTCATACCTCAGAACGCCACTCCTTCGACTTTGGATAAAAAAGACACCCAGCCACCACAACGAAGATATTTCAGGATAAAGTAATCACGGAGAACCATGAGAGCCATCATATCAGTGGGCTGAGAGCATTAAAATTACAACGGCAGAAGGAAGATACAAAACTTGAAGATGACCCTCCCCGGGAGAGCGAATGTAAAAAACGGGGAGGCGACATCCGGCTATGAATAAGGCAGAGGGCCCTTTATTTCTTGGTAGTTGGCTTCTTCCTGGCGGCCTTGGCGGGCGGAGCGGTCGTCTTGGTAACGCGGCCGGACTTGGTCTTAATGATGACTTTGGGCTGCTCGACAACAGCGGGGGCCTGGCACAGTCAGACCGTGATTCATGACGGCGGGAAAAATCGGGCCAGCGAGGGTGAACATACAAGAGTGGTCCTACGGATATTGCCGGAGTTTGCCTTGGGCTTGACCATAGCCTTATTAGGGCCGGTCTTCTTCACTGCAGGCTTGATGGTAGCCTTTGCTGTGGTCTTCTTGGTAGCGGCCTTCTTGGCGGCGAGGGCCTTGGTGGTCTTCAATTCGGGTTGTCAGATCAGCGCCAACGAGCATCATTGAAGGAGACGAGCTTACATCGGTGGTAGTCTTAGTGACTTTCGCCGCAGGCTTAGCGGCGGGCTCCTTCTTCGCCAGCTTCACGGAACCAGAGGGACCTGTGATGCGACACGTTAGCAACTTATTTCGAAGGTAGCGCAATGGTGACGATGTCCCCGTCATCGATTCTACAGGATCCAAGTTCCGCGGAATCAAACGCGACGAAAGACCGTGCCGGATGACAAGCACAGAGTGGAAACGCGACTCACCCTTAGGCTGAGTGAACTCGCCCTTGTCAACACCAGCCTTAATGGCCTTGTTGAACTGGGCATCGAAAGTGGCCTGGTAGGCAACGTTGATCTGGTTGTTCGAGGTAACATACTTCTTGATGGCCTGACGGCTATTTTGCGGGAAGAAAAGTCAGTATCATGTTGTGGGACGAAACCCGACGCGACCATGGGAGAAGTCTCTCTCTAGGTCGCGGCGACAAGTTGAAATGTGCAAAACACACCTGCTACCATTACGCTCTTTTAGCTATAGGCGGATATGCCAGTCAGCAATTGAAAAAGATAAATGAAGCCCTTCCGCATTGTTGTGGTGGCTATTCAAGTGAAACGGCTGAACGCGTCACGTTCGGGCGCGCAACCCGAATCACAAAACGCCAGGCACCGGCGTTGGTCAACTCACGTTGACGATAGCATCTGTGATCATATCTACAATGCCGGTATCAGCAGAAATTCCGCGACACGGGCGATGCCATGATCGCATTTACGCGGGGCCTGTGGCTCATAAAACATACCGCGATAGGAGGCGTGAGCGGCGGGAGCGGCCTTCTTGGACGCGCCAGCTGCTTTTTTGGGAGGCATGATGAGATGAGAGAGTTTAGTTGATGGAAGAGTAGATGGGGTGAAAGGCGATGCCTTAAGAGAAGCGTGGAATAATGGAAAAGTAGATGGGAGGAGGAAATTAGAAGGAAGAAGCAGTAGTTCCTCCAACCGCGGCTGGAAAGGGCGCAAAAGTGGGTCTTTCTGCGGTCATGTCGGTCGGGAACCCCAGGCTATCTCCGTTCCTTCAGTGTTTGGCGCCTGCTCGACTCCTTGAATCACCGAGTTGAAATATATGCGCCGTTATAGATGCTTGCTCCGGTATATGGCGCGCGGTTTTAGTTGGCACTGCACGCGCGTGGCTCATTGGTCACTTGGGAAGATACGGAGACAAAATCTTTTTCGAAGTTCGGCTCAAGCGCAGAGGCGTATTAAATCGTACCACACGGCCGGGCATGCCGACGGATGGCATTCGCGATTGTCCTTTTTTTCCAGCCAACCCATCTCATTTGGCTGCTTCTCACACACGTCATGACAATAGAGAGGAAGTTGTACTATGGGCCTTTATCTATGTTTACTTGTCCTTATACCCACATGATTTCCCAGATAATGACATCACCAAGGCTTCGCGAAAGGTCGAGGCACAACATGGCCGAAAATCATACACTTTTTATTGCCGCTGGTAGTTACATATTTTCAAAAAAAGAATTCCGATATATGTTGCAAACAGAAAATCTTTGGACCCGATAATTTATCAAGATAACCAATCTTGATATATTCTTATAGCGATATTTGACAATTTTACATCTCTTTTCTCTTGTTTTTTATCTCGGAGTCCCTAGAAGTTCACTTGTCCGTGTTAGGAAATATTCTTGCTTACCCCTATTGTGATTATGTACCATCTCTGCATCTTTGTAAAATACCATTCTACCCTACTTCCCGACCGGTTTTCTTTCGCTCGTGAACGAAGGCGACTTGCCCGAGATTAGCACATGAAAAATTCAGCATCGTCATTCAATAATATTCGCAACATCCAAATAAGCCTGACGACCGTTTGCCTTCAAGTCACGCCTGTTATCCGTGATGGCCTCATCTCTATTCGCTGGCGTGTCGCATGCGAGATCTATGGAGCGATCATCTAGGAGATACGATTTGAGGGAGGTTAACGAAGCACCTCCTCGAATAAACTCGATAGTTTCATCGAGATCTTTTCGATCGCTATCTCGAATCTTCTCAACTAGTCGGATGAACAAGGCCCTGTCTTGTTCAAGTGACTCAATCTTGCGTTTAGAAAAGAGCTTTCGGCGGCCATCACTTTCTTTATCCATCACACAATCCTTGCTGTTCTGGCGGCAGGAGTCGCATGGCACACCGCCTCGGCACTTGATCTTGATTAGCAAAAATTTCCAAGCCGCAAAGCTGCATCTACATACCCTAGTTCTTCGCTTTCTGCATTCCGTACAAGCCAGGTTCGCTTTTCTGGGGGGCGGTATAACAGGAGCTGGTCGAGAGTCGGTAACCACGGCATTTTTTGATTTGGGGAGGATTCGATAAGTCATATAAGCATAAGAATCAAACTTTTCCGCCCCGACGTTCACGACGATAGCTGAGCTTTAGATAAGTTGATAGGGTTCACAGGTCTTAAGATATTTCTTACTTGATTATAATACTTGATTTATTTTACCAGCGAGAAACGGCCATGCGGATTATTTATCCGCTTTTCAGGGGTGGGTGTAAGCAAATTACGTCATTCAAACGTAACATGTTCTCAATGAGTCAAATACTGTATTTTACAACGATACAGAGAAGGTAATTACAATGTGCAGTGAGCGTACTATCACGCACATACGTAAGAAGATACGGTTAAGAATTCGTCAGTCCTAATCTCTTCTAATCGCTCCTAGCCTAATGCTAAATGTTACTCCTATAATGTTTGCTGAGCTAAAATCAAAAAGCCTGGCTAACTGACAGCCATTTCCGACATGCAGGTACTGTAAGATGGTGTATCTAAGCATTTTCCAAAACAATGCTAATGGCAGGTAGTACTGTAGATCGTAAGTAATAATTCTCTAACTTAACTTCTAGGACAAGCTTTTGATGTAAAATACTGTGCTCAACATGAAATTCTTGTAACTTCCTACCCCGCCATTGCCCCACACCCTTGACATGGCTAATTCCCAAAATTTGGCTTTATCAACAATTTGTCATTGTGGGTGTAGATTGCAAAGTAGAAGGCGTGGTCTTGAGAGTAGATCCAACGCTCATTTCACAGCCCTTTCCAGACATCCACTTTATAACACTGTTGGTCCGTCCCTCAACAGTATTTGAGATCCAAAGCATTTTGTCTAGCTTCAGCCAGGCTACTCTCGCTTCGGATGGACATCACCAGCTCTTGGAGCTCCTCCTCACTGCAGTAATGTATCTTTTCAATCAGAGAAAAAAGGGCACAGCGGTACTTTTGCGCTTCATGATGTTGATGTTGGGCTTCATCGCCGGGTGGTTTATCCTTGCCTGTCAAAATCGTTCTATCTTCAAGATTAAAGTCAGACAAAGTTGATCTGATAGAGCCAGTGTATAGATCAGCCATACCAGGAGGCTGAGTCATAGATGAAATAGTGGCTCAGCCGTGTACGATATGCCGGCTTGTGGCTTGAGGGCGAGGAAGCGGGAAAGAAGAAAGTGGGGAGGACTATAATTTTCATCCCCGGAATCTTCGTTCATCTCTTTTTGTACGTTTCAGATTACTACTCAAGGTAATATACGGTAATTTTAAATCATCTGTTACAGTAATATTGGAAATCAGTTATACCTCCATGGTCATGCAACGTCATTTCCGGAAAGTAATCCCGCCTATTTTGATTTCTGATTGGTTCTTTCCTAGATAGCCCACTCTTTAGACCGCCTCTCTCCAGATGTATTCATACTTTATAATACAGGGACTTTCGGAGCACCAGCTGTCCTCTACGCCCTTGCCTCTTAATTCCCGGATAATATGACCAAAGTTTGTGTGTGGGTAGAATCCTCAAGCCTGTCTACAGACCGCTTCCCCAAAGTATAGCTGGGTTTGTTACAATGCTGAGGTGAGACGTCAACTAATGTGCTTTACACGAAACTACTATTCATTGTATACTGTACCATCGGGAAACAATTAGCTTGCCTCGCGGTCCCATCAGAAAACATAGATTCTCCGTAAACAATAATGACTACTCGGTTCTTGCCCCAGTATCCATCGCTTTGGCTAATTGTGTGGCGCTTTAATTTACCACGGATGCCTACATTTCACTGTGCCTGGTCTACTTTACCAAGGATGCGATAAACTCTATTACGGTCTCAACCGCAGCTATACCGCCAGAAACCCCACTTCTTATCCAATAGGAAGATGCCCACGCAGATATTCTAACTAAGAGTACCACTATTGAGGCAGATTACCAAGCCTTCTCTCGCCCCGGTGTTTCCAATGTAAAGGTCGTCTGGTCAATGGATCCCCTCCGTCTCAAAACCTATCCTTATGTATTCTGTCTATCCGCACAAACAAGATGAATCATGCAATTGAAAGCAACTCCAAGCAGCCTAGTGCCTCGTTCTCAAGCCATATGCCACCTATCTCCTATATCACTATCAAAAATATTCTCGGCGACCGTTCCCCGAAGCCTTACACACTCAATGCGTTTATGATTTTTCTGACTCAGAATCATTATATTGAGACGTTGGACTTCATAACCGACGCAGAAGCCTACTGTGACATTTACCTTGCGAACCCAATATTTATTGACAATGAAAACTCGCCACGGGAGCCTATGCTTGTCCAAAGACAGTGGGAACGTTTGGTGGCCACGTACATTTGTCCCAGGTCTCCTAGTGAAGTCAACTTACCAAGCTATATACGTGACCGGTTACTTGGCATTGTTTCTGAGATGGTATTATCTCCAAGTCCAGAACTATTGGCCTTTGCCATAAATCATGCCTACGAAATCTTGACAGAAGATGTGTTGGTTCCCTTCATCGGAAGCTTTCATTTGGCAAACAATCACGATATATGTTCAGAATATATTCCAAATTCGACTTTCTTTGGTTTGGATAATAGCCAGTCTTTTCTACGGACAGGAACTTCACCGCGAAGGGATGATATGTACGATAAATCTATATATTTGTGGACCACACAGTCTCTAATGTTAGCTTCCAGATCTCTTATCGATGAGTCTATCACAGAAAGCACTAAGCCAAGTATTCAGCCTGAAGGCTCCCAGGTAAAATCACAATTCTTCAATCATTGCAAATTCAGGAAATGGTTCAATTCTAAGAAGCATCAGCTTCTCTGAAGTATAACGATATCGATGTTCCATAAGAAAAATCCGTTCTATTAGCCATATAATTAGGGTTTATAGCGCAGCCATTTTCGCTCAAGACCATCCTCGAGCTCCTTTCCCCAACAAATGACTTTGTGAATGTGCTAGTCATCAAAATGAAAATTTTCTTCTGGTCCTTTAATACCTCTAAGTATCAACCATCAATCGTTACCCCCTAGATTCTGTATAGATATCTGCTGGAAGTACTGCATGCACTTGTAATTCCAATTGAAATCCCCAGGGTACTTATGGGATCGATGCCATTTCCAAATGCATTCGATGGGCAAGAGCTCAATGACGGGTGTTAGGCATGGGTATTGTCTCAGACAGGACTCAACGAAGATTTCTAAAAGTATGCGACCGAAGAATACCGTTGTGACGCTTTATGTGATGACTACCTACTGGATTCGTACTTGCTCAGGAATACATCACCAAAGTAGCTATGTAAATCGGTGGAAGTGTGGTAAATTTCCTCATTTTTTCACGGAAGACTTTTGACAACGTCCAGCTGGTCAATTTTACAAGTATAGCATAAAATGTGTTCGAACGATATCTCATTTATCACTGTTTCAACGGCTGAGGTAACGGTGATGATTCCGCGATGAGACACACCAAAGCTCATTCAGTCTGCATCACTTTACATTTATCTCTTGCAAGAATTTGTTGTCAGTAATGGTCAAGTTGTCGTTGCTCCACTTCTTTCAAACTGAGTTGTTTGTTGACCACATATCTCTTGCTATTACACGATTGGTTTTATCAACATCATCAAGCGTTGAGCATTATGGAGAACCGAATTTGCTGGCTTTATTGGTCTTCGTGGCTATAAATCAGATGAAATGGAGCTTAAGCTATCCATAATACATATACCCAGATTCTCGAATATATTACTCTGAACAGAGAAATGGATCCTTTTACTGTGTGCCACGACATACAAGGGGACGAAAAGACCAATTCCGATCCAACTTCAGGCCCAGATGAGCGACTGAACCCGAAATTGACAGCTGAAGGAACTCCTACGCAAGTAAGAATTATTTTGAACTGCAATGTCGTGCACGATGCTAATCAACGCAGCCGGTCTCCCAACCGCCAGCCGACGAAGAACAAACTCCAGCAGCAGAACCCTTCCAGCCGATACTACAGCTTCTTGCAGAGCTTGAACGGGATGACCCAAAACTCGCCTTTCAAGCAGCTCGAATCTTGGGACTCTACCGACGACTATGGGATTCATGCATGTCGAAACATACTGGCAGCGAGAAGCTCCGTCAGACCAACCAGGAGTTGAAAAGGGAGAATACACGACTGGAAAATGAAAAGGGGATGCTTCTAGCTCATCATGACGAGCAGCTATCTCAGTTCGATTATCTAAATCAAGCATTGGAAGCGTCTCGGGGGCGATTGCTCAGCATTCTCAATGATTGGGAGCAGTGCTCGGAAGGCCGACTGGCAGGGCTGATGAATTGCGAGCGAGGTCGGTGATAGAATCCTGGTCAATTTATATTCCACTCTATCTATGAGAGAGTCAAGTAAATTGTGATGTTTGTCCAATTTTATGTTTTACCCCTTGATATTCAAAGCCGGATCCATTCGACCTCACACGTCACAGTATATCATAAATGGATTGATCACACCGGGAGATAGCCGAAAAGATAGGATGGGCGGTTAATTTCATAAAAGCTGCAAGGATCGCCTTAAGCCAGTCTATGAGCTGTAAGAAGTAATTCAAGCTGTTTATGTTTGCTGATGGAAAACCTGCTATACGAGGGAACCATAAATTGATAGAAAATCACATTGTTACAGTACAAGATATAAGTAGCTCATAGGTGGCTGAGAATTGAGGTCATGGAAGCTATTTAAGGAAATATCACAAGACAGCGATTGAGGGGTCGTAGAACTTCGCCGTGCTTCACATACATGGTACAGTAAATCACATTTCCATGGAAGTTCCAGCTGAAGTTGTACTATCGAAAAGAATAAATATTTCTAAACGGACAAGAGACGTATAGCTCTGTGCATGAATCAAGGCCTATCAATGCGATAGTGAGGGAGATCGACGGTTTGCAAGGCCTATATGACATTCACATGGAATGCCTTCACTGTCCGTTTTCGACTCTCTAACTCCACTCCCTGTCGGTTGCAGCATTGGAGGAGACTATCGGTCTCTTCTTCCAGTAATTCGTTTAAC